ATCCGGGGAACCGGAAACGTCGAACTCCTTCTCAGCTTGGGAGACCCTGCTGGAGGATAAACCTCCGCTGACTTCGCAGTTCGATACCCAGAGTCACCCCCTCGCCACGATGAGGCGGTAGACCATCACGGGGGGTGAAAACTTTATTACTGAGGTTATTTGGTAGAAAATAACTTCATTATGCATGTTTTTGAGAATTTCGTGAAAATAACTGTGGTGCACTTACCGTACCTCTACACTAGGACAACACTGTGTGTATGTTATTCGGAGCAACGTGTCAGAAAACCTTTGTCCAAACATTTTTGTCTGCATCCATGCAGCCAGAGAAGCTGAAAGGGGAAAGGCACTATTTGCTCACGGTCCTCAAAGTGTTAAAAGTCATCATGAAACTTATTACCGTGAGATTAACGCATGTTTGCAATTCAAGAACTATTAGAAATCTTTAGTTTTATTCATTTGTAGGCAACCTCTCGCTCAATCATCAAGTTCTTGATCGTTATGGACACCGAATAGCTGCTTTATAAATAGCAAAGTTGCCCAAATTCATGAGTCACCGTTCAGGTATAATACAAGTTTGAACACAGTTTCATCTCTTTACCTTGCCATTAAGGAGCGTTTTTCTAATGCTGTTTCCTAATGGTAGTGTCATGGTTAATTATCGTGTACGAGTTAAAGGGCCTTGCTCACTAGAGCTTAGCAATTTTCCGCTTGATTTGCAAAGATGTGGGCTAATTTATGAAAGGTACCAATTTAGATATATTACTCGTTCATGAATCCCACAGAGTGATTCCAGTTTCAATTACAACAATCAAGAGGTTCGGATGCGGTGGTCTTCAATGGATCAGCCAGTTCGGCCAATGGCCGAGATCGTATTGCCAGACTTTGATCTCTTCAAGATTTCAGCAAACAGGATAGAAGAGGTATTTCCGCCTTCATGGGATGTTGAGTAATCCTCAATTATTGGCGATTTCTTAAAACTGTATCATCTCCATTTCTTTCACTTACTTTCGTTAACACCAAAAAAGAGAAGTCTCTGCTTGTAGCAATCAGCGTTTATGCAAAGGTTAGCTAGCA